ACCCTTTTGGGTGCTCGGACCCTAATAATAATAATCACAAGGGTTTCAATAGGGTCCTTGCACCGGAGTGCTCGGACCCTAACTAGCTCGCTTGACCAGTCAGAGCAGACTGGGCTTTTTGGAAGGAGGGTTTTAAAAAGGTAAAAACTAAATAAAAGAGGTGTGGCAGCAATGTGTGAGAAAAATAATGCGTTTATTTAAAATGTAGACTCCAAAAATATAATCCTAAATGTGTGCATGAGCATGAGCAAGGTGTGAGAGTGAACCCATTTATGCTGCTGAATAACAGGAGAACATGTTGGAAGTGTGATGCAGGAAGTGATTATTTTCATTCATTATAGTGATAAAAAACTTTCCAACTTGTTTAACCAGCAGTCCAAAACTCCAAGATAGCAAATCGTCATATTTCACGGGCTGGAATCAGAAATCTTTTGCCACTTTTGCTTCACACTTACCCCGTTTAAAGTGCTAAGCCTGATTCACATCCACTGTGTTCCCCTCAATTTGACGTGATTGCCACACAATCAGAGACGGCGCAGAGCAGCAGAGAAGCAGCCTGCATCTGAATGTAAAGCTACTGTGTCATCCTCGCTGCCGTTTGTTGTGTCTGACTCTGCACAGGTATGATGACTGCCTGGTGGTGCCTATTGTTGAAAATACGCCAGAGGAGAAGGACCTGAAAGACCGGATGGCTCGGGCGATGGAAGAATACCCAGATTCATGCGCGGTGCTCGTCCGCCGGCACGGTGTCTACGTCTGGGGCGAGTCGTGGGAAAAAGCCAAGACCATGTGAGCGTCTAGCTCCCAGCACTATTAACCTTTTCGATCTTGTTTATGACTAAGAATTATTTAGCATAATTTTCTTAATGCTAGATTGTGCGGGATGTTTACTTCCCCGCCAGTAGTCAATAAATCAGGTGTTTTGATAATGAAAAGAGGGACAAAAAAAATCTGCTACCTGTGACAATCACAGGCCTGTGAAGGCTTGTCCAATCATTGCTTTTAGTTTGTATGTGATGATTGGACGCCTTCAACATGCTGCACCGCTGAACACGCCTGATTGTCGTGTCCGTTTATGTATTTGTGCATCTTTTAGTGCTCCTTGTGGTCTCCATCCTCCTCCAGGTTTATGTTTTTTCTCCACTTGTAGCCTCACTGTGTGTCTTTTTATGGTACACTTTAGATGTTGTGCAGACGTGGGTATGCACGTTCTGTATGTTTTAGTACATAACACGCTCTCTGGTGGATTCAGCAGTACTTGAACAGTGCTTGTTTATGTGTTTTGGAGAGAGACCAGAAGGAACAGAATATGATTTTTTTTCACTATTATGCTTTCATAATCTAGTTTACTCTTCCTGGTGTCTACAGTCCGGCATATTCTAGCTTTAAAAGTACATCATGTTCTAAAGAAATGTACTTCCTAACTTTACTTTTTACGTTTTTCTCCTCGAACACACATTTTGCAGGTGCGAGTGCTACGATTACCTGTTCGACATCGCCGTCCAGATGAAGCAGTGCGGATTGGACCCTTCAGCCCTTCCGACGGAGGAAAAAGGAATAATGTGACATTCACTGGCGCTTTTTAAAGAGACATTTGTTGCAGAAAGGTTAGCGGAGTTCAATCAGCGGAGCAGATTGTAATCATTTGCCTTTCACGCCGGCCTGCTTCAAATTTGATGAAATTTGATGGTGAGGGCTGATTCAGGGCTGAAGGAGATTGAATGCCTGTGATCTGGAAGGAGCTGGAGGTACAGTGTAAAGCACTGTGGGACAACTCATGAGTGAGCAGCTGTCAAATCAATGTCCTCAGGTTCAAACGCTTCCCTATTCAAGTCCGACTGCACTGGAATCAAAGTCGCGGTGCATGTCAGGCATGAGTGTACCGCGCATCTCCATTGATCTGTATTGACGCTCAACTTCCTTTGCTTCAATCAATAAATAAAAAAAAAAGAGGGAATGTTAAAAGTGAGTCACAGAAAATGATTTTTCTTACCTCAGTCTGCCAGCTAGAGTCAAACAACTTCTTTCTGAAACTGTTTCTCTCTCATACTGTTCTTTCTTTAGTACAACACACAAAGAACAAGGCCCGATGTTTTGTGTATGCTACAAATCACATCTGAATCTCAGTTTCACACAACTTTGATTCGCGAAAAACCACAAATGACTGCGGTCATTCAAACACCTTTCACCGAAAATAGCCCGGCGTTGCATAAAAAGGGCTCTGGCTGTGTCCGTGGACATCCTTTAATTCCCACGCCGCCATCCCAGCAGCAGGAAAGTGCATTTGGTGCAAACCTCGCACAATGCCTGTAGATCCTCGCACAGCATGCGCTCAGTCGTCTGCATACTCATTTCTCATGAAAGCCGGAGTTGTTGTTCTTTTAACAAGCTCCCTCTGCTGCCACTATCCCATCGCTTCCACCACGGCGCTCGCTCAAAACAGAGCACTGTCAAATGTGCCGCAGGCTTATTTAAAATTGGTAAAAACAAGAAATACACACACCCGCAAAAAAAAAAAAAAAGAAACCGCAAAAAAAAAAAAAAGAAGCAACAACAACAAAAATATTCTTTCGTGCTGCACTAACACTGCCAAGATTCCTCACTCCTCTGATTAATGAGGAATTCTGATAAACTCATTTGCAAAAGAAAGTGTGCAGCAGCCCGTAGCATTAAAATGACATTGTGCAGCTCACAATGTCAGAGACTCAGTGTCTCATATGAAATGAGTTCTCTGATTTTTGACTAGAGATTTTTTTTTTTTCTCTTCCTTTGCTGCTGCAGTTGAGTTATTTTTTTAAATATATATCTCTGGAAATTCACATTTGAGGAGAAAAAAAAACTCAGTATTCAGCAATGTCAAAGTCTGACACCAACATTTTGAGAGCCTCAAACTGCTCATACCAAATGTTATGTATATTATATTTTCCAATATTCATTCTATTATGCATCCGTATTAATATTTATCACCTGTCAGCCAGAAAAGTTCAGCAACAGACACATTAAGAATAGGATATGAAGACAGACTCGCATGATGTGAGAGCTCAGGGGGGCGCTGTGGCACATTAACCACACTGTGGAATGAGGCCAGCTGGGCACAGGCAGTGTTCTCATGAAGCAAAAAACACCTAGTGACAGAGTAGAACTACTGCATTTTGGAAAGTGAAAAGAGCCCAGAGCTGCAGCATACAGTCAGTCACTTTAGAGATAAGCTGGAGCAAAGCAGTACCAGGCTGCCTCCTACATTTGTTCTGTCTTTGCTGCAAAAAACTGGCATTTTGGTTTTAATAGATGAACCTTTGGAGAGTTGGTATATAAAAACTAAAACACATGGAAAAGCATTTACCTTCAAGTATCAAACATTAGAAGGCCTTAAACAGGAAAGTACAAGGACTAGTATGTTCAAGTATCAAAGTACAAGTACATGCTCTGCACAGAAATACCTCCTCTGAGTAAAGTGTGGAAATACATCACATAATTTGTTTGTTTGTTTTTTTTTTTCAAATGCAATAAGATGTAAGTGCCATTGCTTGAAGTGGAGCTAATTTTATCTATATTAACACATACAGGTGATTATGTATATTGAATGCATAACACTCTCGTGTTTAGACTTGTATTTTAATGTGAGATGTTAACCCTCTGAAGCCCAAACCAGCAGGTTGGAAAGACGTGTTATCTTTACTAAATGACACAACTTACGAGATAGAAAGTGTAAAAACAGACAGAATTCCCAAATTTTCAACTGCCCTTGAACTAATCTTGGAGTTCTGTTGAGAAAGTTGACCAAATCTAACCTTAAGATTGTGATAAGACATTAAAATGATCTTATTCTGCATCTTCTATATTCTACAATCTACACAAAAAAAAATGGAATCTTGTGTTTAAAAATTCTCCAAAAATAAAGCATCTGCACCAGATACTGAAAAAAACCAACAAAATCAGTGCTCCTTGGTGCAACTGAGAAGTCATTAGAGACTCAGGTGTTGTCATAAAATTCAGAGCTTTCAGATGAGCTGCAGGCATTGTTTCTACAAAGCAAATAGGAGAAAAGTATAAAAACTAATTTAAAAAGTCAACTGTAGACCGTAGAGCCACAGTCGTACCAGCACACCAGTGGACACAAATGTTGTACACGCTGATCCCTATTTTTGTGATGTTTGTCAAATAAATAAAGAAATTCAGCTTTTTTTTTTTACCCCTTTCTTTTTATGATTTACGACACTGTGGCACTTCTACGCTGCACTAAAGACATTTCCTCCCCTTCTAGCCAAGGTTGTGCTGTTTCCGTAGAGGTGCAGGACTTTATTTTGTGGTGAAAAATGAGCCCACAGTGAGGAAAAATGTGACGGGAGCAAAGAAATTCTCAGGAAAAGGCTCGAGGTTCAGAGGCTCAGTCTGAGAAGTAATCGGTAACTATAACTGTCCGATAGATGTGGTGACGCGCAATATTTCTCCTTGACGTGAGGGTGAAGCATGAGTGTGAAGGCGCACGATGGGAACACTTGAAGCAGGTTGGAAATTGTACTCTTGCCAACATGCCAAGCTATGCAGCAAAACACCATCAAAGGTGGGGAAGAAGAGCTGCAGGCAAACAGAAACTAATGTGAACCGCAAGAATTCCTCTTTTTTTTAAATCAGCTTTTCAAATGTTCTGCGAAGATTAAAATACCTGCAGCGTGTTTTGTTAGACCCGGAGGATCCACGCGGTGTATTCTGGTGAGTAATACCGAATGTAAACATGACATTTGTTTAAAAAAAATAAATCAAACTCCTTTCCAGAATCGAGCTTGCAGTCAAGGTATGATATTAAAATGTGAGAAAAAAAAAAGAGAAATCCTCCATGCACCATCAGATCCCTACAAGTAGCACATAATCCCAAATAAATGTCACATGTACATAAACCGTCATTCTCTCAAAATAAACGTATAAATGACAAAGTCTCTTGTTATAGGAGACTGTGGAGAGTACGTGTGATTAAGATGATTCGCTCATTTCGCACACCATCCTAAGAATCTTGTTTT